TGCGTGTGCTCAGCGCCCGGCGGGACCGAGCCTGGGGAGGAGAGGCGTCAGGAGGTGGCCGGGGCTGGGGGAAAAGCGGCGAGGGGCGAGCGGCCAGCTCGCTGCGCTGCGCTCCTGGGCGCGAGAAGCACAGCCGGCCAGATCAGAGGAAAGCAACCCTGCGCGCGTGCGCAGATGAGTAAGTGCAGCGGCGTGGACCCGCAGCGCTGCACAGGCACAGGATCTTGGGACGGTGTTCTGGAAACTGAGGACATATTCCAAGATTTCTGTTTTTTTAGTTTTTCTCTGTGTGTGTCCACAATTCCGATTACGTCCAAGAACATCACTGTCAAACAAAAAAATGAGTCCGCTCCCTAAGTTAGAAATGGCAGATCCGTGGGTGCACCCGCCTTTCGGCATGGCGTGCGCACGCAGCAGGAGGCTGCCCCTGGCTCCCACGGGCCTCGGTGGGCAACCTCCTGCCACCAGGCCTGTTTGCTGGTAGCTCTGCAGCCCAGCTCCAAAGCCAGAGAGACCCCAAGTGTTTGTGAGGAACGAGGATAAACAGCGTTTACATAAGGACATCTACTAATTTAGAGAAAAGCATGCTTCCCCTTCCTCTTTCTTAGGTTGGTAAAGCAAGTTCGGTGGAAAATGTTGACACGTACACACGTTGTTGTGCAAAGTGTCGGCTGGGGGTGGGTGTCGGGCATGGGGCATTTCAGCCCCAGTGAAAGCAGGTCGACAAAAAGCACTCGGAGATGCAGTCAGTGAACTGAAAGTGCTGCGTAACTTTAAGTCTGTTTACCGCACTGCTGTTAACGGTTATGCATTTAATATAAACACGGTTGAAACAGTTACGGGCACATTTCAGCCTCTTTGATATTCCCGCGGCCGCTCGCTCGTTCGTGTTTTCGAGTTAAGCACGGCCGCCTGGTGCCGCGCAAACCTGTCGAGCTGTTTTAGGAACTAATCGCTTCCCCATTAACCATTACGCCTTTGGCTTGGCTGCCTCTAAGCTACCGTAAGTGCTTTTTAATGTCCTGACTCGCCCATGTCTTTATCTGAATCACTCATGAGCCGAGTGCGAGTGCCCTGTGAGGTATTGCTACTCCCCACTGTTTACACAGAACTTATCCCTTAAGGTTAATTGGCAGATAACGACGACTGTAGACATACGACAGGCTGGACACGCTGCCACACAGGTACTAGCTCGCCAACTTCTGGCGCGGTGCGCCTGGCGGGGAGCCTCGCCGGGGCCCAAAATTGTGCCGAAGTCAAATGGCAAAAGCAGCTGTTGGCTTGCAGAGGGCCAGAGCGTCGCCCCCCTCGAGTTCAAAATGTCCCCAAGGCGGGTGGCAGCTCTGCAGGCAGAGCTGGCTCCTTGCCCGAAACCTTCCCTTGGCCTTTGCTTTGTATGGGAAAAACGAATTATTGGAAAAACCTTTTGCAGCGGTTCACAAATGCAGACACCTGTAAAAGGCTGATTAAAGACAGTTGTAACGTCATTTAGGACTAATATTTGAGGGGAAGTATGTTGAATCAGCCTCAGTGTCTTGAAAAGTCCCCTTTCCCAGTCCTTCGGTATCCCTGAGGCTTTGGGGGGGGTCTCAGCATTTTGGGGGGGGAGGGACCTGCATTTCAGCACATTCGGTTCGATTCCCTCTCGACTGCACATGCTGCATTTGGAAAGGAGCAATTAAAGCTACTGTTAATTATTATTTGATGATTACTAAGGACGTGTGCCATGCTAATATAGGGCCAGTCCTTGGCCGGAGGGAAATAAAATCCCAGCAGTGGGGACTAATTTCCAGGCCGCCCGGGGCTAGCGGCGGGCCGCTGGGGCTGCCCAGCGTGCCTCGGCCAGCAGCA